TCAGTGGTGGATGTGGACAAAGCCATCTCCACCCCACCCCACCCCATCAGACCTCAGCTGGGGTACAGTGACATCTCTTACCTGGTCTCCAAGCTCCGTGGTTTGTCTGTCCTTCTGCCCAGCTCTCCCCTGCCAGGCACCCCTCAGTCCTTGCCCTACCCTGCATGCAGTTTCCAAGAGGGGCCTCAGCGTCATGCCTCAGGGCCTTTGCACATGCAGTCCCCTTTGTCTAGAATTCTCTTCCCCAGCTAGTGTCAGGTATTTTCCTGCAAGGTCCCTGGAAACTCTCCCTGCTCACCAGAGCTGAGCTCCTCAAGGGCACAACCTCAGTTATCTCCAATATGCAGCCGGGCCCTGCACAGAGGCGGACGCAGGAAAGGGGCAGGCGAGGGCAAAACCAAAGTCTTCTCTCTGTATCTCCAGGATGGGCAAAATGTGTCTAATAGATCTGGGTTAGAATTGCTTCTTTTTTTAAAAAAAAATTTTTTAATGTTTATTTATTTTTGACAGAGAGAAAGACAGAGCATGAGCAGGGGAGGGGCAGAGAGAGAGAAGGAGACACAGAATCGGAAACAGGCTCCAGGTTGAGCTGTCAGCACAGAGCCTGACGTGGGGCTCAAACTCACGAACCGCGAGATCATGACCTGAGCCGAAGTCGGACGCTTAACCGACTGAGCCACCCAGGCGCCCCAGGGTTAGGATTGCTTCTATCCCCGGGATACAGTGACTCTGTGCTTACGGTCACCACGGTTTGGGACGGGACGCTGTTCAATAGTCTCTGTGCCAAAACCCAACGTTTTATCACCAAAACGAATGTATTTTTACGTGGACGCTGCAGGTTACCTCCTGCCCCTGAGTCCTTGCAGAAGGTGACCTAACCAAATCACCTATCTCAGCCTGGAAAACCACAGGGCTGGTTCTCATGGCGGAAGTGTCTCCATGGTGAACTGCGGAGTCTGGGGGCCACCCGCCCGGGGGCTGCCTCCCACACCATCCACATCAGAACGGGGAACTTTTCGTGGTGGGCCCCCAGCAAAGGACTCAGCAGGGGAAGTGCCTGAGTGTCACGGAGACATCGCGTTTATGTTTCTGAACACGGACTCCCGAACTCCACTGGCCCGTGGGTCCCCAGCCTCCCACTGGCCTGGCCTTCCCCTGCCCTCTTGGTGGGTGAACCCCAGCCAGGTCCGCAAGCAGCAGGACCTGGCGGGGGTGCTTTTTCTCCCTCCCTGGCTCGCCCTCTGCTCTCTCCTGCTCTATGGCCATTTGTCAGACGGTGATTTCCCCGCTTAACTGGACCGCTCTCCCTCACGCTGCTAGAGGGAGGGAAGGGGTTTTTCTTGTACTCAGTGACTGATCCCCGGTTCGCAGAACAGGCACCGGCACATAGTAGGTGTTCAGCAAGTGTTGACTGACTAAATCTGCAGACCTGGCGTGCATCTCCTACATGTTTGCTGAGAATGGGCTCTCCAGGCAAGTGAAGAAATTGATAACCACTGACGAGATTCCCCCCAAATAGTGTGTGTGTGTGTGGGGGGCCACTGGGAGTCCATAACAGCTATGCTGGTTTCCACTGGCTTCCTGTTGCCTTTGCAATAAAATCCAAGTTCTTTCCAGTATGGCCTCTGTCTTTGTACCTCCTTCCGCTCTTCCCGGCACACACCGGACTACACCTCACAAGCCTTAAGTTCATGGATGCTCCGAGCTCGTTCACACCTCAGGGCCTTTGCACTTGCTGTCCTTGCTGCCTCGTCCCTCAGACGGTCCCATGGCTGTGGGGCCTCAGCTCAAATGTCCCTTTTCCTTAGAGTCCTTCCTGCACCCCCCCCCCCCCCCCCCCCCCCCCCCCCCCGCCCCCCTGCCCAGTTACCGCACCACGGATCACAGCTGCTGTTTTATTGTCTGCCTAGCACTTAGCAAGGTGTGAAAACCATCTCGATCATTGATTTACTCGTACTATCCGTTTCTTGGAGAATCTTGACCATCTTACTGCTTCTGCTTTATTCTGTCGCGCTCTGTTGAGCTCCCCTTCCCGCTGGGGCTCCACGCAGGGCGATCCCACACCTCTCAGGGGCTCTTGGTGATCGGAACTCAGACCGGACCGGTTCAAAACTCGGTCTGGGCTCCGAGCTTCTCTACAGGAGGGGCGGGAAGCGGGGAGCAAGAGCTTTCTCTTGTCCTCTCTCCGGGGGGACTGGGAGCAGAGGGGTCAGGGGAGGGCGGCTTCTGTCTCCCCTGCCTGGTCTCGATCGGTTTCCATCTGCTGCGGTCTCCGTGGAGACGGGTGCCTGGTCGTTTTGGGACCTTCTCCGCGGCGGCCTCTCCTGGGGAGGGAGCAGCCGTCTCCCCCTCCAGCCCTGCCAGCAGGCCAGGCCCCAGCCTTTTCCGGGTGGGAAGCAGTGCCCTTTGCCCAGGATCTGTCCGGAAGGGGCCCGCCGACTCTGCCTCTAAGAGCCCTCCGGGGGTCGTGCGCAACTGAGTCAGGAGAAGCACAGGCTTCTCCCCACCAAGTCCCCCTGAGCAGGCGCAGCTCGGGAACATGCGTGGCGAGCTCCCCCAAGGACACCCCCAGCACCCCGTGCCTGCAGCTGGCACCAGGTTCCTACAGCTCAGCGGGCATCCAGCAGGGGGGAGTGAGGTTCCAGCCTCCTGCTGGCGGTGCCCTCTGCCTCGGGAGGGTTCTCTGGGGGCGGTACCTGCGTGCCAACACCACATCTACCCTCGCTGGCCGCTCAGCTTTCTTCTACCAGCAGGGAAAGGCAAGGCGCACAGAGGTTGGCAATGGGGGTGGCGGGTTCCCAACAGCGGGGCCAATTCTGCCACCTCCCATCGTGCCCTGGGGAAGGCGTCTGGCCCCAGCCTTTTGTCCTCTCTTAACACCTCTTTGTCCCCAGCTGAGGGTCCCAGTAACCAACCCTGGAGCAACTGGAAACGTCCCCTCCATGGCTCCTTGGTTGTTTTTGGTAGGTTTCCCTTCCGGGCCACGTGGCCCGAGATCAGCAGCTCGGCATTGCTAGAAAAGGCGCCTAGAAAAAAGCCCCACGCGTCGTAGGTCCTCCACGACCACCTTTGGAAGGAATGACTCAGTCGGAAGCCTGCGGTGGCTGCTTTGGGTTCATGTGAAATGACCCTTAGAGGAAGGGGCCGGGGCCGGGCGGGGCCTGGCATGGTGCCGCCACGTGCCCGATGCCTTTCACCTGTTATTTCACTTCTCGTGGTCACCTCGAGGGGCAGCCTCGCCGACCCTCTTTGCAGATGGGAAGGCTTCCACCTG